ATGGCTTGATCCCTTCTTAGGATACGTAGGTAGTGTAACGCTAATGTTAGATGCACCATGAAATAAAAGAAAATGAATGCGTAGTTAAATCATTGATTGTGTTGTGGTCTTGTCTCGGAGGCGAGACATGATAGATAAACAGGAATGTGGTGACGTCACGTGTTGATCTTGGTTGTATGTCGGGATCGGGATGTGACACAAACACTTCATTACATCAGTCTAGCTTAGTTTCCAAAGCTAGCTAGTTCGGTACAACAAACGTACCCTTGGAGAAAGAAAAAAAAAAAAAAGTAGAATGTGACAAGCATGAAGCGAAACCTTGGAAATAATAGAGGAAAGATCATAAAGACCTATATGAAATGATAGTTAGGCATTTTATGGTAGACTGAAAAAAGTGAGCATGATACCAATATATTGAGCTCATATAGGAATCACAATCCTGCAATGGGCCAGAAAATTTTAATGTGATACCAATATTTAAACTCATGAGTGTGATACATGTAAACTAATGGGTTCTAAAGTTTAACTCTCAAGATTATTGAACTCATACTAGTGTAATAGTAGTGTTGTCAATATCAAACTCAATATGTCTCTGATTCTTATATATAGGTATCAGTCACTTAAACTATTATGAAATGCATTGGGCATGCTTAACTAGTTCCTATGACAAAAAGAGAAAATAAAAGCATGTCGCCGAGTCCTACTACAAAAACTAGATCACTAAGCACCACGGTTTGTCAAAGCACTTATTATATGATTTCGTTCACCAAAAATTTGAATAATATGTAGTCCATCTATTCTACCAGTCTACTCGAACTTGTCGAGGTACCAACTTAGAAGAATCAAGAAAAAAAAAAAAAGAGAAATTATATTCACACACCCTAAATTATTTATCTTACATTTTTTTAATTTTTTAATATTTTCTACACACCACTAACATTTGATAGAAAAATATTAAAAAATTAAAAGATGTGGAAGAAGTAATTTGGGATGTGTGAAAAATAATGATTTAACATTGAGTTCATTTCAATCCTGTTATATATTACACCAAACTTGAAGCCAAATCAACTCAAGTGAGCATCAAAACTTCCACACGCACAAAACTATGAACTTTCAAATTAGAGCAAAACTCCGTAATTAAGCACACCTTAGTAATCATGAAAATCCACAACGAACCCTATCCAAAATCTTGTACTTCGTCATCAATAATTAGATTAAACACATTACTATATTTACGTAAATTAATTAGTAACACCATGTGATCGTCAAACAATTCCCCGTTAAACTTTTTAGGCGTGGTAAAGATGAAGTCTACTGTCTAAGTATAGTTGTGGTCCACCTGGGCATCAGCAGCATCTAATAGTCTATATTTTGAATAGAGGACCCTCAGACCAATCTCCTTTCTTCCATACTGCAATGACTGTCAAGGCTGGATATAAAAAAGTGGCATACATTGATTCCAACAAGTCATGATTCAAAGCAGAAAACTTTGAACCCAAACTTGAAATGTTGATTTCATACAAGAATTTACCGAGGAAACATAGTGGAACACTCAGAATCCAATACAAATTGGAGCTGAAAAATAGCGACAAAATAATGAGAATTTAGCAAGAAAAGGCATCTTCATGATGAATGCTTTAATTAATTTAATCTAAATTCAAACTTAATTGTCGAGAGAAAGTACGTTGCGTTACTAAACTTAATTACATCAAAAAGAAGTACACCATTCCAACGAACTTTAGTAGCGCCTAGTCTCTATGTTTACTTGTGTCGTAAACAATGAGAATGAGTTCTGGACTGAATATGCAAAATCCACATTTATTGGGGAGCGGGATGAGCCTTTTGGCTTTTGTACCAGTCAGTCAAAAAGAACCACTCCCAGCAAACAGATTCTTCGACACAGGAATTTTTGTCTATTTATTTTCTTCTGTCAAAAAGAAGAGGAGAGCAAATAAAGTGTGCCCTAATATTCACGCCAAACCCACATCTATCCTCCTCTCTTATATTCAAAACAGATTCTTCTCTCTCTCTCTCTCCACACCCCCCCCCCCCCCCCCCACCACCGAGATTCTGATGGACAACTGAGGGAAAAAAGTAGGGCCTTCACTGCACTGCACCGCAGGGAGCACCTAAAAAGTAAGAATATATTGCTGATGAGAAAAGAATTGCCAAGTGCTTGTCTCTCTTGCTTGCCCCCTCCCCTCAACACTCCACTCTTTGTCTTCCTCTCATGGCTCCACCACCTCCTTATTCTTTTCTTTTGACCAAAACCTATTTCTTCGATCCCATCAAAATGTTCTACGGTAACATCTAAGATTCAAAATTTTCCCATGCTAATCATACCAACTATTAGTGCCAGCTGATTGGTAATAATATACAACCACCTTTAGCTCTAATCATAATCAAGACAAATACCTAACTTCTCACAGATAAAAGAGTCATTTTATCGTTACAGACAAATCACAGTTTCATATGTGCGCATCAAGTTTTTCGTTTTATCATTTTAATGAGTTACTTTTGCACGTTTGTTAGTTTGTGATTTGCAAGCATAAACGAAAGAGGCATTACACATAAGTAGGGTCGGCTCTGAGATTTTAGGAGCTCTTGTGCAGTAGACAATAAATGGACTCTTGTAAAAAAAAAAAAAAAAAAAATTCTTGCCACAAAGCTAATTTATATGTCTATGGTTGTACTAATAAGGGATATAAATGGAGTACTATAACTATATATAAAAATAAATAAATAAAGCAAAACCAACATAACCAAACTAAAAACATATATAAAAGTGATAATGCATATGGAGGTCATATTTCTACTCACCTGCAAAATCTAGAAAAAATTTCAAATATGAAGGTTTTCTTTTTTTTTTTTTTCTTTTTTGCGACAAACTAAATTGGTACATATGTAGATGATATCATCTTTTAGGGTCCCTTTAGGATTGGGAGCCCTATTCAATGGCTTCCTATTCCACATGTCCAAAACCGTCACTACACAATAGAAGTCAAACAGTGTTATATTGATTAATCTCTATATATAAAGAGAGGGGGCTAATTTGGTGAAACGCTTGTAATACCAAATTTGCCTCTCCCTACATATAAATGTTGGAAAGACTGACTTAATTAATAAGGCTGAAAAAATAAAATAATATATCTTTACTAATTAATAAAACACTCATTGTCAACCACAATTCTATGAAATTACCAGTTTAACCTCTAATTAAAACATAACTTGAATAAGAAATATGGGGTAGAAATGTATTTTCACACAACCAAATTTTGTTTTTTTTTTTCAAAGCCTCACCTATATGTAATCCTAACATATCTCTAAATAAAAATAAATAAATAAATAAAACTTCCCACTCCCACATTCTCTATCACTCTCTTCCTCTCTCCTTCTATTTCAAAAACAAAAATAAAAAATTTACTCACACACTTTTTGTGTGCCCATATGCTATTGTGATTTAAACCATCCCAGGTTGGGGTAGTTACTAACTTTTTTTAAAATATTTTATTTTGTATTATTAAATTATTTATAATTTATATATAAATTACATAAATTTTAAAAAATAAATATTTAATTAAAAAAAAAGTACACACATACATGTGTGGCAAGAGGATAGTCAAAGCAAGGGCTCGCAGTGTTTAAAATGAGCCCTAAATTTATAATTTTCTACATCACATCATGAGGTTTTGATATTGTACCAATTTTTATATTCTGTTTGTTTGAACGTGTAGTCTTACATTAAATCGATGACATGCTATATGTGAGACCACTTTCTAGGCTGATGTATAAGCCATAGTTGAAATGTTTGGACCAAACCATCCAATTCGCTATCGTTTGGGGACATGAAGCGTTCATTAAGGAAACAATAAAGCTCCATGATGAATACTTTTGGTGCAAATGTAACATACATTGTATCTCGTAACTGAGTCTCACACCCGCAATGCCATCAATTTAATGAAAAACCATATAGTCAAAAATCCAAAAATCATGTGTTCTCTTATTCACATGCAGAATCTAGAAAATTTTCAAAAATGAAGTTTTTTTTTTTTGTTTGCGACAAACCAAGTTGGTGCATGTGTATATGATATTGTCTTTTAAGGGCCCTTTAGGATTGGGAGCCCTGTTCAAGGGCACCACCAAAACCGTCACTGCATGTAAAAAGCCAAACAGTGTCATTGTGATTAATCTCTATGTATAAAGAGAGGGTGCTAATTTGGTGAAATCTTTGAAATACCAAATTTGCTTCTCCCTACATATAAATGTTGGAAAAACTGACTTAATTAATAAGGCTGAAAAAAATAAAATAATATATGTGATTTAAAACCATCCCAGGTTGGGGTAGTTAAATTATTATATTTCGTATTATTAAATTATTTATAAAGTACATAAATTATAAATTTATTTATTTTAAGTATAAATTTAAGTAAAAAAGTCTATTGCCACACACATAAGTGTGGCAAGAGGCTAATCAAAGCAAGGGCTAACAATGATTAAAATGAGCCATGAATAAATCTCTACATTACATAATGAGGTTTTGAAATTGTACCAATTTTTATATTTTGTCTGGTTGAATGTGTAGTCTTAAATTAAATAAATGACATGCCATATGTGAGACCACTTTCTAAGCTGACGTATTATTCATAATTGAAATGTTTGGCTCAAACTATTCAATTCGTTGTCGTGCAACGCCATCAATTTAATGAAAAATCATATAGTCAAACAATCCAAAAACATAAAATGATACGATTGAAAAACATTATGGTATAAATAAAACTTTTAAAACAGCAACTTATTTTAAAAAATCATTTCTAAATTTGAAGAGTATAAACGTAGTTAACCCCTTAATCAACTTTAAAAGCCGGCCTGCAGAGAATGTGGGTTTAATAATGATCTATTAATTTAGCATCTTATTACATCACACGCGCCATGTGCATGGCTCATGCAGGTATATAAATATGACCCAGTCGTCCCAGAGGAGTGACAGCGTGAGCCAAACGCTTACTTGCACGGTCTCGTAGTCAAACCAGCATTTTGCTTTTTAACACCAACACACAAACCATTTCTCAATTTTAGTCCAATCCAACCCTCTCTTTTTCTTTTCCCTTCTGTATCCAATCCTCCCTTTTCCTTTTCTCTCTTTTCCCAAATCCAATCCCACCATAAATACTCGTCATAACAAACCCAACTGCCCTCTCTCTGCTCCACAATCTAGTGCTAACTTTTTTCATATCATAACCCTTCTCTCTCTCTCTCTCTCTCCCTCTCTCTCTCTCTCTCTCTCTCTCTGTGTGTAAAATGTCAACGAGAGCTAGTAGGAGGGTGAGTTTCAGTCCTGATGTGAATGAAAAGCCAATTCTGTATCTGAAACAGGGCGGCGGTGGCGGCTCCAGAGTTGGTGGAAGCAGGAGCAGGGTGACCGGAATTTGGACTTTCAGGTTGCTCAAAGATACACAAGTGCTCTCCACACCCATCAAACTACTACGAACTCTCAGAACCAACATGGCTAGAGCAGTGTGCATTATGTCTGCAAGAAAGCGGACTTCGAGGAAGGTGTCATCGTCCAACCATCTGACAAGGTCAAGGTCTGTATCCGACCCTATGGAATCTCATCGAGTTGAAGCTTTGGAGGACTGCATCGAGTTCCTGAATTCTACTGCTTCTTTGCAGAGAACAAATTCAATTGCTTGAAATTTTTGTTAATAAGAGACTTGTAGAATGATTAGTGTTCATAAAAAAGGCAAGAAAATAAAAGTTTTCGGTTGTTGCATGCAAAATTTATCTGTAACATGTAGAAAGATACATAACGAGTGCAAATCACATTATCTTGTGTGAATTTTTGTTTACCAAGTTGTTTTAATTTTGAGCAATTACTGATAGTCTATAATATGTAAGAGCTCATAAATCAAGTGGTTAAGAGTGGTTCCTGAATGCAAAATCTTGTGTTCAAACCAATGTTTTAAAGGACAAAGGCATAGGTGAGGCATTTCATGGGTAACCTCACCTAGCGAAAGCTTTGAGGCATGAGGCGAAGCCTCACGAGATATAAATTTTTTAATATATATGTATATATATACATGTGTGTGTGTGTGTGTGTGTGTGTGTGTGTGTGTGTGTGTGTAATGCTTTGTAAAACAAACAAATCATCAATAAAACAAGCAATCAAACTGACCATTACCAAATTGAGATTAGAATACTTAAAAACTTGAATTTTGAAACAAAATGTAGTATAAGATTGGGTTAAAATTGAAATATGGGATTGGGATTGAGAATTTAGGGTTTGAGGAATTGGGGATTTGGGATTGGGTGAAATATAATAGAGTGAATCGAGGATCAGGTGAAATATAGTAGAGAGAATCGGGTATTGGGTATTGGGTAGGGAAGAAGAAGGGGACGTTTGTGAATATAAAAAATAAATAAAATTAGACTTGGCTAAAATGATGTCGTTTTGGGTCAAGTCATTTACAAAGATTAAAGGCTTGGCCAAAACAGCATCATTTTGGGCCAAGTCTCTAAATAAATGGAAAAAACCGTTAATTCTTCTTCGTGAAGACGTTGTAGCAACATAGAACGAGAGCAAAGGTTTCCCAAAAAATTTCAAATTTTAAGCAAGATTTTGGATTGCTAAAGGGTCTTTGGGAATGCCCAATCAAACACCTTAAGCGCTTAAGCATGCCTTGACCACGTCTAGGCGAGTTTATGCCTTCTCTCACTGGGCAAAGGTTATTTCACCTCTGCCCCGACTCCAAAACTGACTAAGCACGCCCCGAGATACGTTTTTTATTAAACACTTGTTCAAACCAGTAATTACTGGGTGATTAAAAGCACCAACCCTGCAATCTAAGTATTGTGTTCGAATCAGTAATTAGCAAGAGCTTGTAACCCAAGTGAATAACCATAAGCGATTAAAACTTTTTAATCCTGCAGCCTAAATGTAATTATGCTTATTCTTCAAATTCAAAGAAGTACCTGTCGAATATCTTACAAGTACCAAACATGATGCAAAGTTACCAACTCATGGATACTGATAAATTCAGAGGAATCAGCATGGGCTGTGGGGCTAGAGTCCCGTTCCTCTTTTGGATTGGACCACAATTGTTCAACTCAACGAATATCCCACTTTTTACATCAACTTTATCTCAATCTTTTGACCCAACAAAGCAGCTGAATTTACTCAGGAAGAGCAACGGGAAATCCAAGATTAATCAAATATCATGAGACATCACACACTGCTACAACAATGAAGGATCACTAATTCTCTAAAAAATTGGGACACAAGCCCGTCTATAAGTTAAATTATACGATATCTAAGGATTGCTAGTGATGCTTGATTCTGTGTATGAATGAGAAACGATAGCGAAACACGTTCAAGATTCCAACGAAAGTTTCTCAGGCTCTGTAATGCCCTGGCTGAAAGCTTTCTTCATTTCTAGAGCTCTCTTATAGGGAGGGGCAATTGGGGGCTGTACAGGATCCAAGCTCCGGTAACTTCCCTGGGCGTCTTTAGGCAGCGGATAGGAGCGGTCGGAGTCGTACCCACTGAGGTCACCACATGCTAAAAATGGAATGTACACCTTATTGGGCCCTTCCAACCACCCGCTACTGCAATCTGCCAAAGGACAAAATGACATCAATTACTGCCATATCAAAATCCAAAAATACAACGAAGCTGTGCTCTTCGTTCAAATTTTGAACCGTGACTGTACAAATCCATTACACATCACCAAAGAATTGCAAGAACGGCTATAAATACTGTAATTTTTATGAACCATAAGAGTCTAATTGTATATACCTAGATCATCTGCTCCGGAGGGGCTTCCCACCTTTTCTAGCAGGCGATGCAGATCCTTAGGGTTGAACCCATCAGGAGGGGAATAATTCTCACAGACTGCAAATGCCTCTGTATAACACGAAATACCAGCATTAGTTTGACACGACAAAAGCACACTACCATGTTATGTTAATATATTCAGAATCCTGTGCTGCTCATGCCATGCTGGATGCCCTCTAAGGAATTGAATTTAGACATGATGGAAGACTTCGTTCAGCTGCATTTCAAGAGGCACTTATATATCTAGAATTCTAGACCAGAATTATATTCAAATTCCAACTTATATAAACAACGAAAAAGAGCCCTCCTTTTTTTTTTTACATAAGCACAACCCACAATTAATCTTTCTGAATTTTAGTTCTCAAATGACTACATGATAAACCATAATATAAGACTGATGATCAATCTGTTACCTATGCTGGAGTTGCGGCTGCTTTTCGGCTTTGCAAAAGTCACGATGGGGAAAAATAGTTTCAGCTGCAACCAAATGGGCAAAACAACAAGGACATTCATTTAATGAAATCATGATTCTTGATGCCAAACATAAGGAAAAAAAAATGCAGAATACATTGTTGTAACAAGTTTTTAGGATCCCAAATTTGTGAGCTTTAAACTACCTGACAGTACAGAAGACTTGTATCTTTTCCACGGAATATCTTTGCTATAAACTTACCACCCTCTTTAAGTACATGAGTCACAATTGTTAAACCCTACAAGGAAGACCCAACGGGTGATATCAATACCATACAAAGCTCAACAGCATACGTACGGGTTAGAAAGATTGAATGCAATGTAAAGTAACAAGAATGGACAACAAATGATGATATGTTACATTCTAAAACAGGTACTTATCATGCAAACTTTTATAATGTTAAATTGCCTTGCAAGGACTTCCGGGATACTTACCGCTAGTATCAGCTGGGACTGAACAAATTCATCCATGTCATGAAGGCCAGTTACTGCAAATCATATAAAGCACACCTAAGCAGACATTACTTATAAATGAAAGCAAGTAACAACGCAGTGGACCATAAAACCAGAAACACGACATACCATCGGGAGCACCATCACACACAACCAGGTCAGCTTTGCAACCGTCGAAATGTCTGATGACCTAAAGTGTTACGAAAAAAATCAGATAAACAAAAACCGGATTACAACACATACCACCATACCATGATAACGAACAATATGTATAGAAGGGAAACTAGAAATGTAGCTGATTGTACCACTTCAGCGGTTCGGGCATTAGTTATATCACCCTGGACTTGAATAACACCTTCAATCGGAGCCATTGGCTGCAAATCAATAGCTACGATAAGCGGAACATCGCCATCTCTGAAAAAATAGGGGAAGGATCAAGTTAGGATCATTGTATGTTAGAACAAGATTAAAAACTACTAGCAGCTGAAAACGACATGAAAACTTACTTAGAATCAGATGAACTCTTTGCTGGGAGATACAATTTCCTACTCAAAACCTACACCAAATTACAAATCAAAATCAAAATTAGGAACTTTGAATTGGGTTTTCGGCGTAATCACAGTAAGGACAACATAGATATTACGATATATGAATGGTTTGATACCTGACTCCAGCTACCAGGGGCGGCACAGAGATCGACGACCCGCTTGACGCCGTCGAAAATATTGAACTCCTCGTCGATCTGGAGGAGCTTGAAGGCGCTGCGTGCACGCCATCCTTCTTCTTTTGCTTTCCGGTAGTAGATATCCCTCTTATCCCTTGAAGCTTTCCCCATCTTTCTATGTTCTCACAGAAACAGTGGAGAGGTAAAGTTCAGAGTTGGGCTGTTCTCCGGCGTAGCGCCGTGCCGGAAAACCCTAAACCCTCCTCGTCAGGCTCGTTTCTACTTTATTGTTTTACCAGGGGCGGCAGGGCTGAAGTGGCTGTGCCGCCACAGTGGGTTTTGGGTAAAGAGGTACATGTACTAAAACGCTGTGTCGTTTCGTTTCGAGGATTATCAACTAAACGACGTGTAGTTTCTTTGTTGGAGACATTTTATTTTGTAAATTGACCTAAATCATCATAAATTAATTTCACGAATTGTTGAACTAATCAAAATTAAATATCAATAATACAAATTACGTATGTATAGGCCGAACATGAACAACATACTGAAAGTTCAATCATTTCAGCAATTGAAATTTGATAAGATCATTTTAGCCAAGTCTTTGAGTTTGTCAATTGAACTTTTATAAGAGCTTTAATTCGCCACTTGGAAAAAAATAATTGAAGCAATGCGCCACCTATGGTTTTGGACTTACCTAAATTAGCCACTTGGGCAAACATTGAAGTGACAAATTGAAAATTTTCCCTTCGTTGCTTTGGAACATACCTAAATTAGTTTTGGATTTAAACACAGCCTAATTCATCCTCTTTTTATGTTACACTCTAAATTTTTAATTATTTGATATGACGTCACACTAAAGCTAACTCTATCGTCAATTCATATCATAACAAATGAATAAATATCAGAATGTGATAATATGACCATCCACTTGCATTATGACACGTGGATTAAAAACACGACATTGCAATGTCACCATCAATCCGATTATTTCCATTACGCATGGTGCTCATACAGTTTGATCTTCAATCACGAAATGGTAGCACCTATTTCCAAAGGAGGTCGTTGTTCTAATTTTTAAGCAAACTAGCTTGGTACTGATTAAATATGAATGCTTGCCAATCGGAGAAATGCATCGAGAGTCTACTCGTATAGTGTAACAAATCAATGACAGAAATATCTCCACCTGCAAATCCTGTCAATCTTGAGTACAAAATTTTCAATAAAAGCCTCGAAAGTAGCAGATCGAATTGACTCCACAACGAAAGTTAGGGCACTGTCGCAACGGTTGAAACCCCAGTCACCAGCAAATCATGTCTTTCAGCTTCCAGCGGCAGACGGGACGGTTGCTGGCTTTGCATCCTCAGCTTTCTCATGTTCTTTGTTTAGCACCTGGAAAACAGATATGAGAAAATCATAGAGATATATCATTCAGTCTGCCAGAAGATATCCATTTAAATTCGATAGAAAGTACCATACTCTAATTCTTTAATAAAGAGATGCAACCGTGACCACACCCTCAGGTTCCCAACTTTTTTTTATCTGATCTGTTGGGGTTTATTATAAGTAGAGCATATAAGTAGCATAGCCTTTTAAATTTCCAATCTAAAGTAGCACATTCACAATCTCATCTGTTAAGAGGCACAAAAGGTTAGCACACAGACAAACCCCCGACTCATATTGTCTGACCTACTGGGAGAAGCGGGGAGTTTGACAAGATTAATAGATTTGCAATTTATTATTTTTCTTTTTTTGAGAAGAATAGTTTCATATCTTTTGGAACGAATTAGGGGAAACAAAAACCTTGCACGGGGCAGAATATTCACTCTTTATATTGCACATGTATAGAAACTTGTGTTCCAGAAAGAAAGGAACATTAACAGTGGTGGTGAACTCCTATAAGGTGTTACTTCAGTTCAGCTCAGATAGAGCTCAATACGAGGGAGGTACAAGGGGAATCTAAACCCTCAGAAGAAAGTTCAAAACGTGCAGCGCAGTTGTACACTTCTGGTTGACGGAGTGGGATGAAGAGTTAAAAGGGCATGGTTACCTTGTTGTTGATCAAGTTGTGGAGGGCGATGACGCTTCGGATGAGAGAAGAAAGATAAATAACCAACATCATGTCATTTGTTTTTACTGCATAGAGAAGGGAAATATACATCAAAAGGCCTGCATTAAAGAGTAGAGCTATCTAAATTACTGAACTCACACACTAGATATTTTTGCTTTTATACCTGAAAATCCCTTGACTAAATCTGCCACATTGAGATTTGGAAGTAGATTGAACACGTCCTGACATTTCAAAAAACAATCTCAATATGGCATTATATAATAAATACACAAAAAGTAAGAAAAGTGAGTATGCAGCAAGAACAAGAAACACAACAAGGTAGTCATAATAAGCGATAGCGGCAAATATAAATAAGGAATGAGAAGTGTACCTGCAAATGGTAAAGTATCTCATGATTTAGTGGGAGCTTCTCATCAATGACAAGATCTAGGTAACTGCGTATTTCTTGTAACCGTGCATCCAAACCCTTTAGAGCAGTCAGTTTTCCAGTAACCTGTAAATACGAAAGGTAAGTGTATTCCTTCAAATTCATTAAATCTGTAGACGCTTTTAACATTCATTCTCAAGTTTCTTTCTGTAGGTTAAAATCAAACTGGACTTCATCTTTTCATTTTGAAAAGGAAAACAAGATGACCAAAAAGGAAAAAGAAATTATATGTTGAAAAACCTCATTTGCAAGTGTACTGATGGTTGTATCCTTCACATCTCTTAGTAAGTGTTCCACTCCTGTTGATAAATAACAACATAACACAATTAGTAGGCTAGGGTTTTAAAGAAGTGTATGCTTGTATGTCCTACAGCTTTTGAACAGGGATAAGTTGTTAACAAGAAAATGTAACTATTCATCCTACGGCATACCAATTTCCTCAACCTCGTGAGCAGCAATTTCTGACGGCACATGAACAAAAATCTTCTGGCTTTTTTGAGTTGCATTCTGTAATCAAATCTTTTAAGTTAGTTGCATTGGTGGCCATACAAAGGAGCTTGTCAGAAATCTAGTAATAACTATGTTCTCAACATTTAAACAGGGGATATCAGCTAAATAAGAAGATGTAAATCCATGGCTACCTCTTTAACTTCTTCGACATCATAGTAGGCTTTGGTGGGTATTCCCAACTCCTTAGGCTGGACATCAATAATGACGAGGACTGGGTTTGGGACATAGCTACATACCATAAAGAACTTTATAAACAAATAAAAATTAAGCACAACAATCATAATATTCCAAGCTGAGAAAGAGCGCGTATGTGTGTATTAGTATAACACTCATTCACTAATCTAAACGACCAGCCTTGATAGTCACGCATTTAATAAAATCAGGACTGTGGTAAAGAGATGAAGGAAAAGCACATATTGGGAAAAATGCACAATGCCGCTAAATGCACGCATATACTAATTTACATAATCTTACTTGTGGAATAAACTGTGAATATCCAGATCATTCTCCTTGAGTTTTGGCCCAGTGCTATACCAACCTACAACATGCTCCTTGGCTGAAATTTAACAAACATTCATAAATGAGATCACTAACACCTCCCACGAAAAAAAGCAAGCATCCAAATATACACAAATGTTGAACACACGTTACCATTGATCCTCTTGAACATGGAAAACATTGCTTCATGGTAGTTGTGGTCAAGAAACCAAATGCTAGGGTCTTTCTCCTCTTCTTCAAAGGGCACTGAACATCAGAGTAACAATTTCAAGCTCAATCTTCAATTACTGTAAAACAAAACCCAAACCCCAATCCAAATTGGTCCCAATTTGCAAACCCTAACCCTAAATTAAATCAATCATACACTAATAGAAAAACTAAAACCCAATTCGAATCACGAAATAACTGCCAATTTCGATTCAAACAAACCCCAAAATCCCAAAATCTCAAAATTCACAATCAATCCAACAAAATTTCGGATCTAAACCTAAGGACAAATCAAATCAAGGGATTGGGGGGAAAAATTTGAAATAATGCGGTGAAATCAACTGAGGGGAACTTAGATAATCGGACCTGCGTAGCTGTTGGAGACGTCGACGACGCCTTTGTAGGTGCTTCCGAGCAGAACGCCGACGACTCGCTTGCGAGTGTCCTTGGCGACTCGGTTGTAGTTGTCGACGATGCTGAGCAGAACAAGCGGGTGGACTATCACCTTCTCGATCAGTCTCGCCGATACTTGCTGCGTTTTGATGACGTCCATCTCAAAGCTTCGATCTGTGTTCTGATGGTGAAATTCGGATTTTTTTCGTGACTAAATTTCTAAAACCCTTCACAGAAAGAAGAAAAACCCCCGACAATACAAAAAGGGAGATGAAAAAGCTATTGGGAGTTCAGGCAATACGCGGACAGATGCCGTCCGATGTGTTGACCGAAGGGAGCCAGCGTAGCGAGAAAATTTTCAGTGTGGCACAGAGTCTTCGCGGTATGGTGTGCAATAAATACTCTTTTTGCTTTATTTTATTCTTTGGACAAGATAGTTTTTCTTTTATATATATATATATTTTTTGTCAAATTTTATCTTTTAAATTTTTGGCTGCAGCGATAGCGTTAGTATAGGTAGTTAGTTGTTGGGGAGTAGTGAAATCAATAACGATTTAACTCACACCAAAGAGTATTAGTATAATTGTTTTCCGCTCCTGTGTTAAAGCGTTATTTAGATAAAAGGTAGTTTTCATTAAAAAGTTAAAAAATACAATTTTACAATCGTATTGTGGACTTTTATCACTTTTCACTTGTAAATAAGATGTTTTATATTCGAATCACCATCTATTATATCTTAATAGTTTTTTATAAAATAAAAAAAATTAAATATTATGGTTTTTTTTTAATTAAAATCAGTCATGAAAACTAGAAATTTAATTACTTCAACCCTCCAAACCAGATATTTTCCGCACAAAAGTGACAACAAAATTACCAAGTGAGCACTCCTTAAATGAAAATATCATGGATTATAAAGTGAAACGTGAAATAAACAAATAATGAGCGTTACAATAAAAAGAGTAAATTGTAGCAATGGTCATTTAATTTTAACTCAATTGGAGCAATGGTCTCTCAACTAAAAATTCATTATCATTGATCCCTCAACTTATCAAAACATGCATTTATGGTCCCGCAACTGTAACCCCATTATAGTAATAGTCCTTCCAACATAACACATTTTGACAAAATTCAGACGAAGTTGATGAAAATGATCATAACTACACATTTTGATTAGTTGAGGGACCTCAATTATCGCAATGGTCATTCCAACACAACTTATTTTGACAAAATTCTAA